TCTTTAACCCCCACGTTTCCTTAAATGGAATAATTTGGAAAAGAAATAGCGTGGTGTTGCACGGAGGCGGTAGTGCTTTGGGCAGGGTGCCTGGAGCTGCTGTCTTCTGCACGTGCCGTCAGAGTCAGCGTATGAGCTGCTGTGGTGTGCACGGCGTGAAATTCGCGTAGTTTCGTTCCCAGGACGTCAAGATGACCGTGCTTGGCCAGGATGGCGAGAAGAGATGAACAGATACTCTTGCAGGCAGGGAGGGAATGCTGCATTTTACAGAACTTAAATCTGGTAATACATGAGTGGGTTTTCACCGGTAAAACTGACTCAGGGAGTCTACTGTGCCCAAACTCTAAATCTGGACTCTGAATCATGAGCTGCTATTCTTTAATAGCTCTTAATAAAGCAAAAGATGTGGTTTCAACCAAAATTTTTCCGGGGGAAAAATACCTCTCTGATGATGACTACTTCTTGCTCTATTAATAATCAGATGAAACGATTTTGCTCTCTATTTGGTGCACAGTAAAGTTTCTCCTCAGGCACGAGAAGCTAACTTCAAAAGTTTTACCTACAGCAGGTGTAAGTTCAAGGAAGCCACGACCCACCGCTGTCCTTCAGAATAGAAAAGGTGCTACTTTGACCTGCAGGTCTTGCTGCGCGTCTTACCTACGGGATTTTGGTGTTGTGAAATACGTGCCTCCGGTCGACCAAAACAGTTCTAAAATTTAACGAAGTGCCCACAGAGGCTGATTATTTTCCTGGGGGAGAGCGGCGAGGGCGATGGGAGCAGCCCCCAGAAAAGGCTGTGAATGCAGTAGGGGCCACAGGAGAAGACTGGCAATTGGCCCGTGTCGGGTGTGCAAGAGAAAATCAGGGCTGAGCGGGACCTGGATTACCAGGACTTTAGTACTCTGCTCTGTGCTTCCCACCCTCCGCCAAAGCCGTAGGGTAATAGCGCGGTGCGTGTGTGTCACGTTAAATTTATCAGGCATTACCATTTGCAGTCAATAGTTCTCATGGGAAAGGCTCCGTTACCCCGGTGAGTAGGAAATGTCTCAGAAACCCAGTGCATTGAGAGTATGTGTCAATTGTTTCCTTCCAGGCGCTTTGGGAAGGGAGCCTAGAAGTTTGTCTCAGCATTCGCAACAATATAAAGGGATGCCAAGCACTTAAAGTACGCAGAAAAGGAAAATGTCTTGCTTGGCCTCCCTGAACAGGCTGGGAGGTGGGATGGGGAGGGGAGGGGGGAGACAAAAAGCAACATGAAGTAAGTCTCTCCCTTGCAGAATAGGGAAAAGCAGCCAAGTAATGCAGTTGTTTGCCTGCGTCTATACAACTTAGCTTCGTGTTACCAAAATCTGTACTGTGCACACGTGGTCAAAAGATTAAAGAGATTGTCCAGTTCTGTTGGCAGCATATTAAAGTATTAAGACTACAGGCTTACTATGATGTATTTCTATTATCAAGCTGACCACAGAATTAGTGATTCAAAGGAGGACGTTGTTTTAAGACAGATACCGGAATCGCCCCATCCTTATGCAGCCTTGGGTCCAAGAATCCCTCGGGAAGAGCTCCCGCTGCCCTCTCTGTCCTGGGGCCACCGTTACCCTACAGCTCCTGCTGGTGCTCAGATGAGGTTTCCCCTTCTCCGTCCCTCTGCAGCGTTTATGCCATCTGCCATGGTAAAGCTGACGTTTCCAGTTGCTGGAACAGCTTTCCTTTGTGGCGGCAGAGGTAAAAGATACCTGCAGGTGTTGATCTGCAAGGTCTCGCTGCAGATGCCTCCGGCTCTCGCCGTTCCCTCGGTGCCGTGAGCCCGTCGCTCCGAGATGGCGGTGCCGGCACCCTGGGCTGGAGGCAGCAGGTGCGGGTCCCTTTTCTTCTGTCCCTGTTGTCCTGCCTGACTTTGGACCTTGCTTGACCCCGGATTTCTGTTTCTTTTTTTGTCCTGCTCCCTGAGATGGTGAGTTATCAGTGTCTGGTACCATACCGGACAGTTGTACAGCTGTTGGCGCAGCAGGAGATGAGCATGTAGTGGTGGAATTTAATATCTGAGCCTAGGTAATACTGCCTAAAAAGTAACTGTACCTTCACTCAGAGAGATTTTCACTAGCCCTTTGTCGCTGTTAGTTTATATCTTGTTATCACAGACACTATATATCTTTATGTCTGTCTAACTGTTTTATTTATTTAGTATGGCCTTCCGCATAGTTACCACCAGTACATAAACTTGAACTTGCTGTAGCACTCTAGCCGCCAGAAGGATGATGGGATCCGTTTCGGGGCCATCACGGGCGCTGTCGCACCGTCGTGTCTGCAAGCGAGAAAGGAATTTCTTTACACGCCTTTGCTTTCTATTACAATTTCCGTATAACAAATAACTTTGGAGCCAGAGTGTATCACACTTACTACCAGTCTGGGGATGAACATATTTTTTCAAGTGATTGTATTGGAGAAGAGTTTTTTTTTTCTTTTCATTTTGTTGGTCTTTGAGAATTAAGAATGCAGTGTTTAAGAAGCCTTTTTCAGATGCTTTTTTATACTTAAGTAACTCAACAGGAGCATGCATTTAAAATTTCCAGTTTATCCTTTGTGTTTGCTTTTCAAAGGAGCTGCTGCTGGAGATCTGTATACCTCGGTGGTCTCGCTGGGCTATAGAGCACCTATGTAGACAGCTATGAGAGACAGTGTAGTATGCATAGGGTGTGAACTGTTTTCTTAAGCTTCTGGCCCCATCCTTGCGTACAGCTCATCATTCCGTTATTGGCAAAGCCCTTGGGGAACTCAGCTAGCTATTTTAAAGTTGCTAGCAAGGAGGGCTGCTCTGGTCAAGCAGCTTTTTACAAGACCTCGGATGCTTTCAGTGTGAAAATTCACATGTGAAAAAGGTGAAGGGCTCTCCAGGCTTCACAGCTGGCCTGAAGAGTGTGTGGAGTTCGAAATGGCAAATGCAGGGTTGTTTTTCATTGAAAAGTCAGTTTGTTATGGAAATCGGGTATTTTGTGCCTCCATTTTCAGTTGTTGAGTCTCAGGGATTAGGTTTATCGTTAAGGAGGAATTAGAGACGCGTGTTTAGCAGTGAAGTGGACTGGTGGCTGCAGACTCTGGCTCTCCTGTGGCGCTGGCATTTCCAGAGCAGCTTCCCGTGTCGTGCAAATAGGTGGTTCATCTGGAGCCCGGTAACGCTGCTGAAAAACAAACAGTAATAATAGGCGCAACTTGCAGGTGAAAGGAAAGAGCAATGCATACTCTGTAATGAGGGAAAACCGGTGGAGATGGGTCGGTGGCCAGGGCCAGTTGTCTCTCTAACTTTCTCAGGCGTGTGACTTCTATCAAGTGAAGCCTGACTTCTGTTACACGCTTGACTTAATTCTTATTCCTGAGCGAAGGGGAGCGTATGGCTGCTGCAAAAGAGAGGTGGACGCAGCCCTGAGCTGAACGGAGAGGCGTTGCGGAGCTCCGTGTCCGGTAATGCAGAAGCACATCTCGTCTGGCTTCAGACGCCGTCGTCTTGTTGGGTGCCCACCCATTTGACAGAAGTGCCCGTGGTTTCAGGAGTGATGCCGTTCCACATTGTGGAGCGCTTTTCAGGAGAGTCTGTCGGTTGAATATCTTCTGTGGCAGATACCTGTAGGTGCTTGGAGTTGGGACTGAGGGGTATTTTGGCTGTGAAACTTTGGATCTGAAAGCCACAGCAGTCATGGCAGCGGGGATCTGAAGGCTGCCCTTCGGGGGGTCTGCCCTCTCGCTGGGGAGGCAGTCGCCAAATGAGTCGGGGTGGCAGCTCCAAAAGCCGTAGCCTCTGCCTTCTCTTGAACGTGTCATCTGGTGTGCTCGCGTGGGCTTTTAATAGCCGTGCATTCATGCAAGGTGTAAGCATGGGCTAAGAATAGATGGATGCGCGGCGACCGAGGCAGTGACTCCACAGACGGACAGCTCTGGGAGCAGAAGTAAATGACTGTACCTACAGATAAATACATTGGTTCTTACGTGCGTTTGCGGCTCGTTCGTTCAGATAAATGTACGTCAGTCAGTAATACGGCATGCGTGTTTATCTGAAACTCTCTGCTTGGCTACACTGAGACATGAGTGGGGAAACCAAATTTGGTCAAAAACATAGAGTACAGCTATCATTTATCAAGCGTTAAGTCAGAAGGAGCTGTTTTTCAAAGCTTGCAGTTAGATGTCTGAATTATCTGGGCACAGGTATTTACATATTTATGTATAAAGATATTTATCCCAAGTTGGTAGAAGTGCAGAAAGCCCTGAAAATAAAACATTTTTATCAAACTCATCAAAAAGACAACAATTGGCAAGTGTAGTTTAAGTGCTTTAGTTTGAAACAAAAGTCTACATGAAAGGGAAAAGGCATACTTTGTGTTTACAGTCAACATATGCAATTTGGCACTTACTCTTTTATTACTTAATTTTTATTTTGGAAAGTGTCAGGTACTTAGGAGTTTACAGTAACTTATCTTAGTAAGTCCTTCCTCATCTGCTGTGTTATAATAATACCTTAATGGTACTTTGACACTTGTTCTACAATGGACTACATAGTCAAGTGATGGAAATTCTGTTGCTTTAAGCTCTTCAATTAAGCTGGATCAGTTTGCACAAGGTAGGTGTTAAGTCCAGCCAATGTATTTGGTAAAACAAATGGAAAAATTATCGTAGACTGTTTTTGAAGAGCACTGTATTCAGTATTGCAAAATGAGTATGAAGGCCTTCTGTGGTTTTTATTTTTATTTTTAAATGAGTCACAAGGATAGAATAATTATCAGAGAGTCTGCACTGGCATGCACTCTCAGAAATGACTGTACAAAAAATACTTTTCCAAATGGTAGCTGAAGAGCTCCTAGCTCACGTTTGGAGACAAGAAATACAGTACTAATTAATGTTAGGCCAGCAAAGAAAGATACTTCTCTTGCCTGTTGGAATGAAACGCAGCATGAACTGTACTGGCCAGTGATGCAGTCGAAATTAATATTTGCTGTGCTTGTGTTCCCTAGGTCATCACACTATTTACATTGGGGTCCACGTGCCGAAGAGCTATAGGAGAAGGAGGCGTCACAGAAGAAGACCTGGGCACAAAGAAAAGAAGGAAAAGGAGAAAATCTCTGAGAACTACTCCGACAAATCAGACGTAGAAAATGCTGATGAGACAAGCAGCAGCATCCTTAAACCGCTCAGTAAGTACTGGTTTCAGTTGTCGCTCACTACAGCGGTCTGTTGTCTAGTGATCTGCTCCTGATCTGATCACGGAGGAGGAAACTGGATCCACGAAAACAGTTGTCTCATGTTGCAGGGTCAGAGTAGTCTTAATCAATAGCTGCTGAATGGTTGCTGTGGCTTGGAAAACGTACGGGCAGGAGCAGACATTTCATCCCTCCGTATCACCCGAGTTTGCTTCTGAGCTAATGCCAGCAAGGAACAAGCCAAATTTTAAAAAGCAATTTGACACTGGGTGTAAAGAGATAGCAAGGAGATGCAAAGACTGAGTAGATGCCTAGACAGATCTATTGCAGCTTCTGCCCCAGCTCTCAGGATGTGCACCCTCTCGAGAATTCAAGCACCCCGTGGTTTCAGCTAGAAACGGCCTCGCAGGAGCAGGTTGATGAGAAGCACCAAGACCACTGCTATAGACTGAGAGAAACATACCTACTTGGGATGTGGCTTCGTTGTATCTATAACTTGTGGTGCTAGTAGGTCTTTTCCCTTCAGTAGTTAACCAATTTTAAGTTTTGCAAACAAAAAGAATAATAAAATGTAGCGTTACTGTATGTTTGAGTATCTGTAGGGGTTGAATATCTGAATTTTGGTAGGCAGATGAGGTCCATTTTCGATGCCCTATACCTCCATTCGTACTGAAATTGTTCACCAGAGGAGAGAGATCTTTATCTAACGTCATCACTACGCAGCTCTTTGGTAATATCATAGGCGACTGTCATAAGGTCCCATTCCTCTTGCTGTCTTCTCTGTTGGCCACAAGGTTGTTCTGAAATCTGCGGGATGGCTGCTTAAATAGAACTGGGAGAGAAATGGTGACAGCCTGCTAAACTGGGAACATGCTAACAGGGTTTGAATATAAGAGAACAGCCCAGGATGCGATATAGATCAGATTATTGAGGCTAATTCCGGATGGTTGGAGTTTCATTAAGGAACTTGTTTGTAAGTGGGGAAAATGCTTCCAGAGAGAGAGAGGGAGAGGAGCAAGCAGGGGTCACACAACGTGATCTTTGATCGAAAAAAATGTGAATTTTTCGTTCTGAGATTATGTTGCTGGATAGTTGCTGTATATAAAGACAGTAACATAGCGTCGCATCAGTCATGGCTTTAGCCCAGGGCCTGTTACTTTTGCTGATGCAGATACTTCAGAGAGCAGCAACTGGAAAGGAAGGCAAGTCACAAAGTCCACTTGCTCTTCGTCGCTCTAGTTCCCTAGTTGTTCCAAGGAAGTTTACTTAATGCTCAGAAATCAGGAGTTGGTTTTACACCGAAAGACATAATCACCTGTCTTCAAGAACTCTAGATATTTTAAGTGTAATTTTTATATTTCCATCTCTGTTGTTTGCTGTGCAGGTGACCAGATCTGTAGAAATTCCTTTTTGGCCTCTGGATGTATCGATATCCTAGGGGAATTGTTTCAACAAGCTAATTGTGCCCGTGGTTGACAACCTGTGTCTTCCATCAGGTTTTGATTTACTGCCTTTCATTTTGTTCATCCTTGTTCCTCTTTTGTGTCATTTGAGAAAGGGTTAATGGTATTTTTTCGTCTTTTGTTTCTATAGATTAGTATGTTCTTGTCTACTCTTTATCTGCACATAAAAATGTGTACTCTTTTCATCTTTCTCTATCTGAGAATTTTCCCATAGTCTTTTCCACCCTGACCTCTTTGCACTACATATTTTCGCAGTGGGATCACTTAAATACCACACAATATTCCAGGTGTCCCATGCAATAGCATTAATACTACATCATTTGTAACTTTTTCTGTATTGTTCACTGTCTCACGTATCCAGATACTTTACCAGGTTCTTGCAGGGACTTGCTGTTTTACGCTGGTGGCCAGATCTTTTTACGAACTGGCACAGTTAATTTAGAACACTGTAAAGGATAGGAGTAGTTCAAATTACTGTCTCGAATTTCCAAACATTGAATTACCTGTTGCCTCATATCCCCGGGTTTTTTTTCCCTTCTGAAACTCTTGTCCTCATAGCTGACCTGAGTTTTTTGTTGCCTACGCTTCTTTTGCTTGCTAACAAGCCTTTCTTCTCTAGTTCTGCCTATGGAGTAATGCCAGTCTTCCTTCAGAAATTTCTGCTGTTCCGCCTTTTATGTTCTCCATCATTTATAAATGGCTCTTCATTTCCATTTTGTCTTCTGTCTCTTAGGTGGTTGCTGCTCTGAGACAGTTCTTGGATATTCAGACTGTTCCAGGTTTAGATGTCTCTTACTGGAACTTTGATGAAGGCTTTTTGAGGGTCTGAATGGCTTATGTGCGCCATGTATCCAGCTGCTGTGTTCGCTCTCAGTCATGGCAAGTGTGTCCAAGAGAAGACTAGTTCTCTTCAGACAAAGCTTACCAGTTTAGTCTGCTATTCATTACTGGCAATCACGGCAAGCAATCTCAGTCTTTTTCAGTCTTCTTCTGTTAATAGTAAATGACTGAAGGGTATGTGGCTCAAATTCGGTTTCAAAAGAGTAAGAATATAAGAAACAAAGAACTGGGGAATTTTGAACAGCAGTTTTAATGGAATTGGGAGAAAGCTGAAATGAAATACATTACATATATTTGAGACAGCTGTCAGTAGAGAGTATGTGGCATCAGAAGCTGAAATATCTGTTAGGGCTGTGTGGTTTAGTAGAGTGGGGCAGAATGAAGGTATTCGCTACGGAGTAGCAGTGCCAGTTGGCCAGTGACTGCAGTGTGGCCAGGAAGGAGGGAGTTTTGGATTTTGCTTTTCTTCTTTGAAAGGGGGGAAAAAAAAAAAACAGAAACTGAGCAAGAAGTGAAATGCAGAGAACGGAGACAACCAGAGAGTGAGCATTGGTCTAACATGCTTCAGGTCATTTTAGAGGGATCAATGATTATGAAGGGACTGCATCTGTCAGAGCTAGGTCAGCTCTGCAGGGGCTTGCTGGATCATAGATTCATAGCGTGGTTTGGGTTGGAAGGGACCTTAAAGATCATCTAGTCCCAACCCCCCTGCCATGGGCAGGGACACCTTCCACTCAACCAGGTTGCTCAAAGCCCCATCCAACCTGGCCTTGAACACTGCCAGGGATGGGGCATCCACAGCCTCTCTGGGCAACCTGTTCCAGTGCCTCACCACCCTCACAGTGAAGAACTTCTTCCTTACATCTAATCTACATCTACCCTCTTTCAGTTTAAAGCCATTACCCCTTGTCCTATCACTACATGCCCTTGTAAAAAGTCCCTCTCTGGCTTTCTTGCAGGCCCCCTTTAGGTACTGGAAGGCTGCTGTAAGGTCTCCCTGGATCCTTCTCTTCCCCAGGTGGAACAACCTCAACTCTCTCAGCCTGTC